TGGGAAGACGTGGCAGCAGTGGGAAAGGCTGGGGAAGGGACCTGATTTCTGTGTGGCCTAAATGTCACTTCTGGTCCAGGGTTCCATTCAAAAATAGGGATCAATTTTTGTGAAGTTTTTCAGGAATTCACTTTAGTTCCTGCAGTTAGTATGTTCCCCTTTCACCTGAGAAAAACTGGAATTATTTGGGTCGATGTTATTGTGATGTTTCTGACAGGAATTGTACAGAGAAAACTATCTTATTATAGAATGCTACCTAACAGAATGAATATAGATTTACAGGTTAAGCTGTAAGCATGTACTGTAAACGTTTATCTTAAAAATAATAAAACTAACTTGTGTTAGTGAAGGTATTATTGTGCATCTACTCAGAAATGTAGCAATGCATTTCAGTGATTAAATAGAATTTTGGCATGTTTAACTTCTATTTTTAATCTTGTTTGCTAGACAGTTTTCATGAAAATGTTTATTTGTATTCTGGTAATGATAGCATTCATTTGATAAAGACTTTGTATAAGACAAGATAACCTAATCTTGAATTAAACTTCATAAATAAGTGAAACTTAATTCCAACATTTAAAAGGAATTCTTAAGAGTACAAACTAATGCAAATAAACTATTAAGGCTAAATTGCTAGGAAAAGAAAACAGGACAGATTGTGTGTGTGTGTATACATATACATATACATATACATATACATATACATATACATATACATATACATATACATATACATATACATATACATATACATATACACACACACACGTACACACACAAATTGTATACATATATAGCTATAAACCCAGGAAATACAGAATGAAGGAAGAAATTTGTATAATTTCCCTCAGCTGCTGAAAGAAAAAGTACCAATAGCACTTGATAGATTAACTCAACCTGTGCAAGGAGCGGTGGGATCAGTACTTTTCCCAAGTTGTAATTATTTCTTTTCAGCTGTGGCTCTCATTTCATCAGTATCTTCTATAGCAGCTAGTATCATAAAATCATAGAATCAATAAGGTTGGACCTCCAAGACCATCAAGTCCAACCTTTGACCAAATACCACCATGCCAACTAAACCCTAGCACTAAGTGCCACAGTCATTTCTTAGTCACCACCAGGGATGGTGACTCCACCACTTCCCTCTGCAGCCCATTCCAATGCTTAACCACCTTTTCAAAAAAAGGGTGAAAAAAATCTTCATGATATCCAACATGGACTTTCTTTGGTGCAGCTTGTTTTTAAGATTCACTGTTAACCCCCCAGCTTCAGATCTGCTATTGTAACATGACAGGGAAAGGCAGTTACTCTAAATATAAACATGCTCAGTTTTAGTGATGATTCTTGTTGTGAACCCTAGGGCTGTCCTGCATCCTCAGAAATGTCATTTCTACCCCACCATCCTACTCACAGTAGCCCAAGCTGTGTTTTTGTTTTGCTAGTTGCAGCTTACATTGGCATTTTTAAAATCCCAGTCAGAGCTCTGCTGCACAAGGAACCCTGTTTTTTATGCCAGGAGCGCTGTTGCTTTGGGGCTAACCGCACACTGCTGGCCCCTGCGCACATCATGAAAGAAACGGATGGGTCCAGGCCATCTGCAGTGGGGTGGAGGGCCAAAGCTGCACTCTTTCAAGGTTCAGATGTGAGAAGAGCCAGGATGCGCTGGGGATGTAGAGCATTAGTGTCAAACACATGGAGTACACATTCCCCAGGCAGATACCTCTCAATGAGTCCTCTTTCCTTTGTCTGTTTTCACACAGAACATCTGGGGTATGTTGTCTCTCTGCCCCAATATTTCTTCTGGGCTCGAGATGCATTTCAGAGCTCCACTTTCCTGACCTTTATTTCCTCTCTGTTTTCAGTCAGGCATCTCTACTTATATGGCAAGGACAGGCATCAAGATCTGCCTGCAACTGCAGTTCAAATTTTGCATTTTGGAGGCGAGAGTAAGCTGAATTTGTGGGTTTCCATATTCTTAAATAGAGAAGGCTATCAAAACCACATCCCGGATGAATTCTCTAACCTTTAGTACCTCTCCTCCAACTTAATGTTTGTTGCTTGGTGAGTTTTTTAATTAAAAAAAAAAATCTTGATCTCTGCACAAATTTATTAGTATTGGTGTCTACCTCCAAAAAAAGTTATGGGCAGTGTCTTTGGCCACTCAACCCTGAGATTACAGGTTATTTTTAATCCCATCTAGAGATTTGTAACTCTTTTCCAAGCATGGGACAGGGAAACCAAACCTGTAACTGTGTTCCAAATATTACTCCTGGGACCTAAAATTAAATATTGCAAAATATTTGCCCACATGTTTTGCCTAGTTTTTATGACTGACATTGACCTTTACTTCAAATTGGCTTTCTCTAATCCTCCTGAGATGAAAAAAAACATAAAGACATTAAGGAGACTGTTCATTCACAGCTCGAATATAGTCTATTTATGCTATCTTAATGTTGAAGGAGTAATACTTACAGTAGGCTTTATTTTCAACCAGGAATGCAAAATATCAAACAAAAAAGTGGATTGAGCCTTGTCGCATTATTGCTCGGGACCAGCAGATGGCAACCACCCATCGCAGTGTCAAAGGTAAGTGAGAATTGCTCAGGTAGGGGATGTATTAGGAGTCAGGTCGAGCAGCAGAGCTCTGCTACTCTACACGAGGAGAAGGCAGAACTTGTATTTTTTAGTCCTACTTATACCTCTCCCTTTGGGAAGGAAACAGTGAGTTGCCCTTTTCCTTACTCAGTTTTGACAAATTATAATGGTGACAATTCATTTGACTAAACTATCTGCTGCTGCTCCTATCTGAGGCTGCTCCTTACTGCTAATATCAGTCAAAAAAAGAACAAGACAATGGGAAAAAAATCCAAAGCAATCAGACTACCTTAACTTCCACAGGAACAGCCTCAAGTTCTTATTGTTATTAATTAGATTCCTTATTACTTTAGGTGGATGCAGTTAGAACTGAGTAGCAATGAATCTGGGATCGGAAATAGACTTCCCTCTAGGAATTGACTGGGGCTATTGACATGCCAGTTAATTAATTCTCGTTATATGAGGGGCCTTACAGATTTTTTTTTTTGACATAATAAAGTTTGAAGACATTCTAATTTTTTTCCTACAACATTATATTAAAAGTTATTCATTTCTAGGAACAACTACACTAAAGGTTTGAAAAAACCCCCTCCAAGAACTTTGCATTTACATTTCAGAACAGAAGTTCCTTCATTAAAACAGGAGAAGAGTTAGAGAAATATATGCATAGCTTTACTAGAAGGATACTTATCTACCTGTAGTCATATGAAATTTTCCTTTAGCGTTGATTTAATCATATTTTGTGACTTTGTTTTCAATAATTATTGGTATACATAATACATGTATTGATGTACACAGGACTATCAGTAGTGCAGGAAAAAACCCAGACCTTTGGGCCCCTGAAAGATTCCAGCATCGCCTTACAGTGTCATTTGCAATTTAAAGAAGAATACACTACAAATAGCTAAACCAGACAAGAAGAACACTGTCACTTAGTAAAAGCAAACCAAAATACTCTGCATTACTCGGATGCCTCCCTCCAAGTTCTCAACCACTTTGCAAACCATTAACTTGAAATGTGTTCATTTGCACCCTTGCAGTACAAGGTTTATTCTCAGAACTCACACCTTTGCTGGGAAAGCTTAAAAAACCTATTTGACAGATAAAGTATAAGCTTTTGCTTTAGTTACAGCTACCCCTTGATCAACTGTTAATTTCTATAAGGACTTTGAAATTAGGAGAAATCCTTTACCCATCAAAATTTTTCATTATGTCCTTAGTCTAATAATATTTATACTCTAAACCTCTCTACTTTTTAATCTACTTTTTAATGAGTTCTTTAGAGAACTTAGTCCTTCAACCTGATGATAAAATTTTAGCACCTTTATTTGCCTTAGCATGAGAAACTATATGACTTGTATGTGGTGTTTTTCCTGTGGACCCACAAGTTTTATTAAGAGTCCAAGAGTTACCTTCTTGCAGAGAACTGCAAAGCTAGTTAGATTTTTTTTTTACAAAAAGGCAAAGAAAGAGAAGTCTAAATTATTTAGAAGGAACTTTTACAGAAACAATAGCTCTGTTTATAGTCATGCTTTTTTTAGCTCAAATATTTGAGAAGGACAGATAGTTTTAAAGATTCAAGGTCTGTGGTTGCCATGAAGGGCAGAGAAAGGTCTCCCTGTAATAGTCATATTTATAGCAGAACCTGTCTGAAGGTCTGGAATTTTATGTGTTAGATATCTAAGTAAGGGTCAGGGGTATCTTCTAAAGCTTGTACCATGTTTCTGTCATGTGTGCATTGAAATGTGTGTACAATGAAGTGTGACAAAGTGCTCTGAAGATTGTGGTCTGGTGGGAGTGTGCACACCTTATGTACAATGGTAAAAAGGCCCTGGAAAAATGTAATTGCAGCCTTTTCATGCTTCTCTACCTCCACTTTCTAAAATTGGAAAAAGCCCATATTGCCCCCTACTACTGTGCAGAAAATGAGTCTCTGTACTGTTTTTCGCAAAACCTTTCTGTTTCTTTGATCAAGACACTGGAAATGTTCCTTGTTGAGCAGAGCCTTAGCATGTTGCTCAGCAGACTTGTTTGTTTGATCATGTTATGGTGAAGAATGGAAATACGATTGAGCACTGAAATGAGTGCTTGAACCTTGACTTTTCAGCAAAGAATAAAGTACAGATTTGCATGGGGACTTTGCTTACCTGAGCCTTATTTCAGATGCTGTTTGCGGTATTATTTAAAGGAGAGATAACCAGGATTACCATTGCTTGCAATGAGATTCAGGGATAATCAAACTTGGCATAATAAATTACCAAGATAAGATGGGTATGAAAGAATGTGAAATGCTGAAGATAGGTTTGTGCTTCTCAACAGCATTCAGTGTGACTTTTGTAATTATTAACTAAACCTTAAAGCCTGAGGTAGTCCTTATTCAAATGCCTTAATCCTTTTTCAGATTCTCTCCTTACAACAACTTCTGTCTCTTCACATTTCCACAATGAGGGAGATGAAGGCAACAGATCCACTCCGTTCATCCACAGAGCTGAGTGAAGGGAAGGAGAAGTTAAGACTGAAACAAGAGGTCGGCCTGATTAGCAGCGTGTCATTAATTGCAGGTACCATGATAGGTTCAGGGATCTTTATGTCCCCTGAGTGGGTACTACATCACATGGGGAACCCTGCCAGCAGCCTGCTGATCTGGGCAGCATGTGGTCTCCTGGCCATGTTTGGAGCCTTGTCGTATGCTGAGCTTGGAACAATAATTAAAGAGTCTGGAGGAGACTATATTTACATTTTGAGGATTTTTGGTTCCTTTCCTGCTTTCATTTTCGCCTACACTTCTGTCATCCTGGTGAGACCAGCTGGTTTGGCAGCTGTCTGTCTGAGCTTTGCTGAGTACGCCATTGCGCCATTCTACCCAGGATGCTCATCTCCGCAGGTTGCCGTCAAATGTACAGCTGCTGCCTGCATCCTGATTTTAACTATCATCAACAGTCTCAATGTGAGGCTGGCAACATCTGTTATGAACATTTTTACAGCTGCCAAACTCTTGGCTTTGTTGGTGATCGTGGTGGGTGGGTTGGTGCTGCTTGCCAAGGGACAAACTCAGAGTTTTCAGAATGGTTTTCAAGGCACGACTGCAGGTATTGGGGCAGTTGGAGTGGCATTTTACCAGGGACTCTGGTCCTATGATGGATGGAACAACCTAAATTATGTAACTGAGGAACTGAAGAAGCCTGAGGTGAGTGAGTGAGCAAACAAGCTGGGTTTTACCTACTTAATCCTGCTGTAAATATGTTTGATTCTATCTGTGATTGTGTTAAGAGTGGTAATCAAGGGATTTATAGTGAGGATGGTGGGACACTGACACAAGAGATGTTGTGGATGCCCCATCCCCAGAAGTGTTCAAAGCCAGCTTTTGTGGGGCTTTGAGCAACCTGGTGTAGTGGAAGGAACCCCTACTCATTGCATGGAGGTTAGAACTAGATAATCTTTAAGGTCCCTTCCAATGCAAACCATCTTATGGTCCTATAAAGGTCCTAAATTAATCTATTGACTGGAAAGAAATTATTAGGCAGCACTTGAATGCTTTGGGGATGAAGTTTTTTCTTAGTGTTTAGAGGATCTCACAGTAGACACATAGATTTTTTCAGAAAAACACTCACTGCTATAGTCCATAAAGGATTCTTAACAACATGTATTTTCTGAAAGGCTTGATCCATAATTTGTGCTTTGGAAAACTACTTTATCTCTCCCTGTTGCATTATGGGGCAACTTCAGAGCAAACCAAGCCTCACTGGAAAGGGAATCTAACTCTGTGAATGATCCCTGTCTTTAAACATCCATATTTTAGCATTTTGCAGTCCATGCTATAGGCACTGAAGTAGCTTACCTGCATCTCGCATCACCTTCTCTGCGCCATGTTACCCATTTTCACAGATCAAACACTGCAGCAGTGAACAACTCTTATTTTGCAAGAGTTGTGTGAGTGCAGGGTTTATAGAGCGTGCTTTGTACCAGTGCAGCACACAAGATCCTACAGACTAAATGCAAATACAATTAAATATTAACCTAAATGGCAGCAAAGATCCCAGGGCCACTCTCTCCCACAGGATTGTGAGTACTGATATTCAGGCCCTTCCAGAGTGGGGAAGGGATACGGCAATAGAAATTGCTATATCTTGTCCTGTGTTGAGAATGGCGAATGCAAAAATTGATATTTCAGGTTCTTAGATGCATAGTTGACATTTCCCAATATTTTCAGTTGCATAAGAAACTATGATTTTATTGAGTCTTAAAATGATCCTGTGGTGTTCTAAGACACAATCCTGCCACTAAGAAAAAAGAAATATTTCCTTCCTAGAGTAAATCCCCTTTAAAATTTTGAGATCAAACCCTTGTTTTGATGTAAACTGTAGAGTAGTTAAATGTGATGCAATACACTGGAACTTTGTCCATGGCAGTGAGGTGTTTATGGGAAGATGCAGCACACCAGGAGGCATAATATACTAATAACAAATAAATCAATATAAAATAATCAAGAAGTATGCAAAAGCCATCTTGGACAGCTACAAACCAAAATCCTTTAAATAAGATTTGGTGGGTACTTTTTGTTTGATTTATTTTGTTTGGTTGGTTGTAGGGTTTTTTAGACTAACTTTGGAACTGTACAAGACTGGTGTGAAAGCTGCCATGTGAATCTGGATCTATGTCTTTTTCTGAGGAAAAGTTTAGGGAGTGGAAGAATCTGAATGAGAGACGTGGGTGGTGGCAAAACCAAACCAAACAAAAAAAGCACAGTGCTGCGCCTGACACTGCTGTCATCCCTTTTCTAGGTGACCCTTCCCAGAGCTCTGATGATTGCCATTCCTTTGGTTACATGCCTGTATGTGCTGGTAAACGTGAGCTACTTGGCAGCCATGACTCCCTCTGAGCTGCTGTCTTCAGGAGCTGTGGCCGTCACCTGGGGGTGAGCTCTGCATGGGGCAACATGAGCAATGCAGCCCTGAGAAACACTGGTTCCCTCCTGAGTTTCAGGAGATTTCAGTGTTATTCCCAGAAGGAATGGCAGCACTGCACTGGTCAGGCCAGGAGGACCTGTCAGGCCATTTTACAGAGAAGAGGGTGACAAAGATGTTCAGAGGGCTGAAGCACATTGCTGTCTGAGAGCTGGGACTGTTCAGCCTGGAGGAGAGAAAGCTCCAGGGAGACCTTACAACACTTTCCAGTGCCTTAAGCAGCTGTAAGAGAGCTGGAAGGGAAGTTTTTACAAGGGCATGGAGAAGTAGGACAAGCAGGAATGGCTTCGATTGAAAGAGGGTAGGTTTAGCTTAGACATAAGGAAGAAATTATTTACCGTGAGGGTAGTGAGGCACAGGCACAGGTTGCCTAGAGAAGCTGTGGGTGCCCCATCCCTGGAAACATTCAAGGTGAGGTTGGAGGGGGCTTTGAGCAACCTGGTCTAGTGGAAGGTGTCCCTGCCCATGGCAGGGGCTTGGAAGAGGATGATCTTCAAGGTCCATTCCAAACTGTTCTATGATTCTATAATTCTGTGGTTCATTGAGGTGAAGGCTGAACAGCTCCATCTGGCCATGGTCTCCAAGGTGCATTTAGGCTGCCAAGATGGCACATTCCTTACTCCTCATTCCCTTTGTTTGCACCTGGAACCTGTAACTCCCCCAAGTCATGTTTTACCTCATGGAAAATGTCCATAAAGGAGAGGTGAAGATCACACCAGCAGCATCTCCCCACACGCACTGGGAATACAGCAAAGGTACACATCCAGACTTTGGGATTGATAAATGGTGCACATTTTTTATATTTCCAGGGAAATGAGGACAGCAATGTGCTGCCCTGTTTATGCAGTGTGTTGGGAGTGAGACAGGAGTCAGTATAGACACCATCAATGGTCTTCCACCAGAACATCCAGCCTTAGCCTAAATATTTCCAAAGACACAGAATCCCTGATAACCCTAAATGAGTTGTCTGGCAGAAATGATGACACAGTGTATCCAAAGATTATGTACTGCTCTTCCTAAAAAGTCAGCAGCAGCTTCTGTGTGCATTTCACAAGATCTCCTACTTGAAGATCTGACTGAGCTCTTGCTGGATGTATTCTCTAATAGCCTTTCACATCATTATGAGTAGGAGCTTTTAAAGGACTAGTGCTTTGTTTGAGCATGTCACAAAGCCTCACTAAGCTGCAGTGTCATGAACTTTCCCTGCACTTCCTTTCCCATCATTCCTAATTAACAAGTTATTTGTGAGCTTCCTCCTTTGTAACACATCTCCTTTTCCTGCCTGATTAACCTTTTCACCCACAAGTGCAATTCAGGAAGAAATATTGAAATAGTGACAGGAAAGCTGGGCACTCAAAGGCTGGGGAACAGGTAGGGAGCCAGTCTGAGGAGGAGGTGAAGGTTGTGGCTCACAAGTAAGACATGCAGCTATTCAGGCCATTAAGAAAGAATGAGAGGAGTATAAAGAAACCAGAGGAGGACATTTAAATTTATTTATTTTATTTATTTATTACCTATAGAAGAGGAAAACTGCTGGAAAGAAACGTTATTCAGTGGTGAGAGGTGCAGCCACAAAGGGAGCTCAGGAAACTTCCTGGTGTTTCTTTGATGTCAGTGATTTAACAGCAACCACAGGTTTCGGTTTGCTTGAAATAAAGTGATCGAAAAAAACATTTGAGTTTTTGATTTTGCCAATTAGATAAACAGTGTTTGTGTATGTGATAATTAACCCAAACTCCATCATTTATTACTCAATTAATACTCTTAATGCTGCTTCATTCTAGAAGACAATCTTCATTTTTAGGTGAGAAAATTATCATTCCTTCCAAATGTTTACCTTGAACTCTGTGACTCTGCTACTGCAAAACAAAAATGTCTGAACATGTTGTAGTTCCAAACATCTGGAATTCAAACAATTTTTTTGGCTTAAGTCATATTCACAGAAGAGCAGTAATAGGTGCATGTGGGATTAAAGGGTTAAAATCCTATGCATATTCAGGAAGAGGTTGTAATGCAGAATATTTCTTCCAGTGTGATGGGAACAGTTTTTCTGTGATTTCTGGGCTAATATTATTGGTTGTGTTTGCAGTATCTTCAGGCCTTTTGCCACAGCATCAGTACACAAAAAGGTGGTTTTGCCTGTTGTGACCTCTTTGTACACCATTGTAGTGTGGACAGAATATATAGTAGGAAGAAAAGCTGTCAGACAAGACAAACTTACTAGTCACTAATATTATGGGAATTTCAAGAAGACTTTAAATCTTTAGAAAGACTTTGGAAAAAGATTCTGTATAATACAGAAATAATGGAGGGATATAACTTGTCTGGTTCTACAGTGAGTATTCAATACATCTAAGAACTGCATCTTATGCTGTGAACTCTTTTCCACCTCAGGGACAAAGTCCTGGGCAGCTGGGCATGGCTCATCTCCCTGTCGGTGGCCCTGTCTACGTTTGGTTCATCAAACGGCACATTCTTCAGCGGAGGCCGCGTGTGCTACATCGCTGCCAGGGAGGGCCATATGGTAAGCACAAAGAAAGGGTCTGGCTTGCTCTGAGCAACTTCTCCTTCTTGTGACACTAAAGCAGGGAGGAAAACACTGTGTATGTTCAGCTGGCAGAGTGATAGCTCTTCAAGGGGTTTGTTCCTTGCTCATTAATCCCCATCTCTTTCAAATGTAAGGCACAGGCTGTGGGGTGACCCAGTCAATATTCCTGCCAGGAAAGGAGAACCTGGCCATGCTTGTGTGTTTGCTTGCACTGGGAAGGTAGCCCAGCACCAGCCAGCTGCCTTTGCAGCTGGTATACTGACTACACAGATTGGTCTCAGGGGAGATCCACCCTTCACATGGGTAGTCCAGCTTAGATGTAGCATAGGACATCTCTGCTCTTCAAGCTTCATAGCAATTACAAGGTGATATGAAGCCTTACATGTCTCCTAGCTTGGGTTTATCATTGGTTTTGTTAGGTAGGCCAGAACTGGTAACCTAGTGGAGATCAGGCTGCTGCAGCTCCCTCCTCCCTCATCCAACCAATAAGTCCAGTAGCCACACACAGAGCCAAACACAGGTATCAAACATATTTATATACAGCTATAGATACATGTATATCTGCATATATACATACAGAGTCAGCAGGGAACATAGAGCTCCACATACAGACATACCTGGGGTTCACACAAACACCAGCACTAACAGCACCCAGGGCCTTTCATTCTCCCTGTCTGTCTGATCAGGGGTCTATTAGTGAGAAATACATATAAAACATATGTAAGGTATGGGTCCTTCCAACAGCTGGGCTCAGATCCTCAGACCCTGGATCCCAGTCTCCCCAGTTGCTGGTATCTGGGCAAACAAGCCCCCAAGGTTACTGTCAGATCCCAGCTGCTGATACAGACCCCCTCACTCACAGGTACACCTCCACACACACTTAACCACACTGCACCACAAAGAGGAGAAAAAGGCTGAAGTGCATTTGTTCTCTGTTTTGAGCAGGCCTCTTGTGTTCCTCCTGAATCTCTCTGCTTTTTTTGGTCCTTCCCACCCACAACATCTGGCATTTCAGTCCTCAGGTGTGAAGGTACTGAAATAGGTTGCACAGAGAGGTTGTGGATGCTCAGCCTCTGGAAGTTTGAGGCCAGGCTTGATGGGGCTCTGAGCAGCCTGGTCTAGTGAAAGCTGTCCCCTCCCTACAGCAGGACGTTGGAATTAGATGATCTTTAAGGTCCTTTCCAACCCAAATCATTCTATCAATCTATGATTCCACACCAGCTCCACTCCTGGTTCATAGCAGGGAATCTTTTATGCATATGAATGACCAAGTTGGTGGAAATGACTGGACTGGTGGTTGCTGGTTTTGGTAGCTACTGGTTCCTCAACTTCTGTCTCTGAGGATAGTGCCTGCTCTATCATGGCAAGGTTTGTGCTGAGAAGTGCACAGATGGTCTGAATCTGACTGTACCAGACTATGAGTTTAATGCTTATGCCATTTCTCAGACATTCATCTCAAAGGTCCTTGCATGATATTTTCATTGTGAATTAAAAAATAAAATAAAATAAAATAAAATAAAATAAAATAAAATAAAATAAAATAAAATAAAATAAAATAAAATAAAATAAAATAAAATTTTAAAAGCAGCCTTTATCATTAAACTTTTCCAATGAAACAAACAATAAAAAGGCTACTAATCCTGAAGGAAATCCTGGTTTAATTTGTATTTACGTAAATGTTTCAGGAGTAGTCCTTGTCTCATTTTCCAGTTATCCCAAGAGAAGTCAAGTGCCAGAGAGATGTGACAGAGGGCAGACAGAGGGCAGAGGCTTGTGGCAAAGGTTCTGATGGTGGTCAGGAGAGCTCTAAGTTGACTCATTCTGTCACATCAGTAATTTGAAAACCTTGTTTTGCCTGCTCAAACTGAGCCTATTTGATATGAAACCATTGAGACACAATAAAAGTACCCTTGAAGGAGTTTCCTGTATTTACACTCCTTGGAGTTGGCCTGTTTTTATATGACACGTATCTGCTGATTATGAGCGGCTCTGGCTGCAGGCAAAGCTCCCACCAGCAGCTGAGGGGGATGAGTAAGGACCTCTGAGTCCATGAAATGATGATACAGGGCTTTGCTTTGTTTTTCAGCCAGACATTCTGTCCATGGTTCATGTGCGACGCCTCACACCCTCCCCTGCTCTACTGTTTACGTCTGCGATGTCTTTAATAATGATAATATCAGGAAGCTTCACCACCATCGTGAACTTTTTCAGGTATGTGTGTGTAGGGTTTCTCTTTGCATCCCCTGTGCTCCTGGGTTTTACATTGTTTATAACTATTTTCTTGCAGGATCTTTTTGAGCCTGGGCTATTACTTTCTAACCAATACTGGGTAGAGGAGGTGGGAAGAAAGAAAAGAAAGAGATTGGGAACCAGCACCTTTGCAATGCATGAATGCTCCTGTCACTAGAGACTTAACTGAATGTGATTCATCCCCATTGAATAAGTAATGTTCAGATAATTCTAAAGTTCTCATTGTTTGTGCTAGAAAGAAAATTAATGAAAGAACTACTAAATTTATATCAATATTCACCTTTTTAATTGGAGATTTGAACATCTGGGATCTGCAAGGTAGGACTGACATTCCTGGATGATCTCACCCCAAGTTTAATGCTGTCTTTTTTTTTTTTTTTTCTTTTCTTCGAGTTTTATGGCATGGCTTTTCTATGGAATGACTATTTCTGGGCTCCTGTATTTAAAAATCAAGAAACCAGAACTGCCAAGATCTTACAAGGTAAAGTAATAACATAAAACCCTCAAATATTTTCCTATATTGCTCAAAAGACTAAGAGAACATTTAGAGAAAAGAGTGAGCACTGGTGGCTTACAGATTCAATGTGGTTGTCCTTCCTTTTTTAATGTCAAGTTTTGTGTCAGCAAAGCCAACAAGGGGTGAGACAGTGTGAACATACAGGCATAAGTCCAGGTTGAATTCTCTGTCTTGATAAGCTAATAATGCCCTACCTACCTCCTCACTATGAAAATATGTCTACCATATCCTTTTTTTTTCTAAAAGATTTAAGTGGTAAATGAAGGATGATTCTGATCAACATTGCAATCACCTGTTTATGCAGATTTTGAGCACACTCCTTGGAGGGTAGCCCAGGTGTAAGAACCTTGCAGAGGGAAAAGTAACTTAGGTGGAGTGCCCCAAGTTCTTTGAGATGACATAGGGACAGGTTTGTTCCCCACAAAACAGATAAAAGGAGGGAAATCAAGAGTCATGTGTTCTTCTCCTGATCTTCAGTCCTTCCTCAGTGACTGAGGATTACGAATGAATGCACAAGCCACCCTCCTTTGAGGACGGGTGGCTTCAAATTGAAGTTTAAATGCTTTCTGACCAGGCTTACAGAAACTGCCGCTGAGATTGCCTGTCCACCTGTCTGTCAACACATGGATAAAACTTTTTGTGCAAGGGTGCTAAGGTACAGTTGCTTTGGATACAATTGTTCTGTGTTTTGTCTACAGCTTGGCTTTTAGATGCAAGAGCAGACCTGGCACTAAACCCAGTAGTTTGCATCTTCAGGTCTAGGAGGGCAGGAAACACTAGGGGTTAAGGTGTGATATGATGGTGTAGCTCTTGCAGGGATATTCAGGTTTGGAGTGGGGTAGGCTGGGAAACAGGATGTCTGGATTAATTTGTATTATTTCTAGGTAATACCTCAGGTTGCAGAAAGGTTTCATGGTTTCATCTAAAAAGCCTTCTGCAGAAGTTCCAGGGTTGTCCAGACACAGTGGCCCAGAATTGCATGAGTCTTTATGCTGGTGTTTTGCTTTCACAGGTCCCAATTATCATCCCCATAATTGTGCTGATGGCAGCTGTGTACCTGGTGTTAGCTCCCATCATTGATCAACCCCAAATAGAGATCCTCTACATCGTCCTGTTCATTTTCAGTGGCATAATTTTTTATTTCCCACTGGTTCGCTTTAAGTACCACCCTCGCTTCTTACAGAGAGTCACTTTACACCTCCAGTTGTTGCTGGAAGTTGCTCCAACTACCGGGGATGCAGACTGAGATAACATCCTTCCTTCACGTGGCTGCCTGCACCTCATGGTTTTCCCCTTGGTTTTCAAGGCTCAGAAAATATTCTTCTGTAAAGAGCAATGAGTAGAATGTGAGTGACAGTAAGTATCCAAGTGAGATGGACTACAGCTATGATTCCTCATGTTTCCTTAAAATTCTGGGGACATGTTTTTCTTCTTTTCAGCTTTGCCTTGGCATTACATAGAGATTCCAAAGGAAGATGTGCTTTTGTATTTTTGATCCCCAAAAGGGCTGTTTCTCAGGATCTTATCTCTTATTTCATGCAGATAGACAATGAAATATTATTTATATAGCAGGCTGAGTCCCATAGCCATTCCTGGCAATGCCTTTGATTACTTACACCTTGTTATGCCCACTGTGACTGCAGAGCTTCTCAAATCAATAAAGTAAGGGCTCACCATGGCCACAAGAAATAAACCCTTTTTCACTCAGGTATTCATCCTGGGAAGATTATGCTTCTTCCAGTTCCAGGTGCACAGTCACAACAGTCCTTTCTCTGTCTCAGAAACCATCCCACATGCCCCACAGAAAACCCTATGGCATGAGACAAGAAGTGCTTTAAAGCTCTGTCAGTTTACTCAGTTGAGAATACACTTGTCATCTGGGATCCATCCATTCATGATGAAGATGCAAGCAGCTTCAGTCAAGTACCAGCATTCACCCTTGCACTTCCTGTGATCCCCTGAAGAAAAAAAAAAAACCTATTTTGTGACAAAGTGAGGAAAAAAAACCAACCAGAAAACCCTGCATATGTGCCAGCAAGATACTCTGACTAGGAATGAAAGAAACCACATACTGGGCTACATTAGGAGAAGTGTGACCAGCAGAGCAAGGAAACAGTCTGTCTCTTTGGACTCAACACCTGAAATCATGTATCTAGTGTTGAGCCCTGCTGTTCAAAGCGGAGTTGTGAAGACACTTGGGCCCTTCTTTATAATGGCAACTCAGAGCAGTGGTCACAAGCTGTGGCATGAGATGTTCAGGCTGGGCTTAGGGGAAATGTGCCCCATGAGGGCAGTGGAGTGTTGGAACAGTGTGCAGAAAGGTGGTGAGGTTTCAGTTCCCTTACATTTTCTACCACAGCCATTTCCATCAATTTCTATGATCCTAAAGGCACAGCACAAAAGTCACAGGCTGTGCTCTCACCCACCCCTAACACACTGAAGTCACTGTTGGTTCCCATTATCCTGAGGCACTACTGTTTTTTTCCTGCTCTAGGGGAAGGAGAGGTATTGTGAGCTGTTTTGTTCACATTTTTCCAGAAGGTTCCAGGATATCTGTCAAAGACTTAAAAGGTCTAGGAGTTAGACCCTAAAATGCCTTGTTAAAATACCAAAAGTTAACTTTCTGTCATCATTCTTCTATAGAACTTGATACAATCCTGCTACCTTTTACCTAACCTGATGTGATCCTAGAACACAGGTTACTTGATCCTCCAGGCCTCTTCCAGCCCATCTCAGAGTTGTGTATCTGATTACAATCTCATTCTGCAATGTCACCCCTCCTGCTCCTCTGTGTGGTGATACCAGCAGCTAGAGGGAAGCACCAACAGTCTGTTTTTCCAAGGGTTAGGTATGATGATGGATAGGCCAGACGCCACTCATCCAAATCCTTAGCTTAAACAGTGTTAGGAGGATTTCCTTCCACTGATTTTTACTGGAGTTGCCAACAAAGTCCAATGAGGGAACAATTTTTCCTCCTGAATCCCTTGACAATATAAAATTCTTGGATGAGTCTCTTAAAGGAGGGGATGTTCTCAAAAGGACTGATGAAGTTAAAAGCTCTAGGTTACCTTTATCCCACTGCCCCAGGCTCTTCGTCTTATGTCAGGGAAACTTCTTAAAGGAGTTGCATCTCAGATACTTACCTAAAATTAGAATAATACAATTTCTCTGATTATAATTTTTTTTGAGACAATTTTTTTCTTACCTATTTATGAAGCCTATCACATGGGGCTGCGCTCTAATAAAGAACATGAAAAGACTTAGCACTTTGAATAGATAGCCTATATATGTTATTGGTTTGTGTATGGATATAAGGGAACTGGAAAGCTGCAATTATCATACTCTGCACCAATCTCATTTTCTATAGATATTATTGTAACAAGATGTTCTCTTTTATTTATGTTGCGTAGGATTTGCAGGTGGTTATAAAGCCAAAACAAGATGCTGAAAGCTCAGAGAATTGAAAGATAATTACAATAAAATGGGCATTACAATGATGTGAGTTAATGTGTCTTTCTGTTTTTCATCCAAGAAAACCAATTCCATAGAAATTTTACTGCATGATCATAAACAATCAGCATCAGGCTTATCTCTCCTTGGTCAGAAGGTTTAACAACATGTGTGGGTGTTTATATGTGCGTACACTCATTTTTCAAAATGATTGCTTATCTATGCAGCCCCAGGATATGTAAATTGGAATCTCTTTCTCCTTCCCTTCCCGAGACATTTACAACAGAAGTGCCAGGAAGAGGCAACGCATCCTTACCATTTATTCCTGCAGCACAGTGACAGTGTGACAGTGGACAGAGCACTGTACCTGCAGCTTGTACAGGTTATCCTACAAGATCTTATTGGTCCTGTCTGTTTCCAAAGCTCCAGATCCCTGTGACCTGTACTGAGATCCTTTCTTCATGGGCTCAGAGGAAAAATGGATTATCAGCATTGACCTCAAGATAATAATAAGATCTCTACTTCACCTCTAGACCCTGGGTATCATTGAGTCCCATCCTTCAGCTGTGGGAGCTTTACCTTGGTGCACAAATCTGAATGTATTCTGGGCTTTTTCCTGACTTCCTCAGAAGCATCAGAGATGAACTACACCTAGGGACAGTAAAGGAAAATCCAGTGTGTGAGAGAGGGCAGAAAATCCTCCTTTGGTGATTTTCTAGTCAGGCATGCTCATAAGCCCAAGTTCAAGTGATTGCCATAATTTGTGGTTAAGGACAAATTTACAATTGGGTGGGACAGAGTAGAATTCAAGATGACTTTAAATTTTTCTCTGTTCAAGAAACACAGTTCACTGACTTAGACTGAGTGGGTTTATCTGTACAGTTCTCAGCTAGTGCAGAGGTTTTGGTGTTTAGTCTCTCCTGCTCTCTGCTGGGACACAGGAAATGAAAAAGACCTCACTGGGCTCTCTCAGGAGTGTTAACTTGCTCTCTAGGTCATTTACACTTAGGGGATGAAATAAATACAGTCAGCTCTGGGAATCACAGACCATTCCAGTGCGGGTTGGAACTGACCTCTGGATGTCTCTTGTCCAACTTCCATCTTGAAGCAGGACTATTATCATGTAAGGTTATTTACCTGTGCCTATCTCTTCATGTTTTGGAAAACACTGAAGATAGAGAGACCACCATCTCTCTGCATTGCTCTCTGGATAAAGAAATTTTGCTGAAGTTGAATCTGAACATCTCAAGCTGCCGCTTGTGGCTGTTGCCCTTCTCTGTATCATCTTCTACTGCCAAAGTGGTTGGTTCTATCCTTTTTGTTACTCTTTTGTGGAGCTGTATGTTTCTGTTATGTTGCCTCTTTATTTTTGCCGAACTCAACAAGCCCAGCTCAAGAAGCTTTGTCACGTAGGCAAAGTGCTCTGGACCTGTGTCTTGGGAGCTCTTTGCTGAACTCTCTCCAGTTCCTCTGCTTTCCTTTTGAACCGGGAAGGGGTCAGAAAATTGAATGCAACATTCCAAGTGTGCCCTCACAGATGTCAAGTCTACAGCGATACTGACATCTCTTGGTCTGCCTAGGTACCTTTCCTAATGCAGGCCACTGTGTGTAACCCTTTCTGAGAGCTTCAGCTGACTTAGTTGAAGGCAATAGAAAACCCTTACTTTTTACAGTTGGTGCTCTTATTAGAAACTTTGTCTAGGCTGTGATAAATCCAGCATCAGGATGACTCAGTCTAGCAGTGCAGGGGGATCTACATCTTGCACTTTACCATTTATTGATTAGTTAGTTGGCTACTGTCAGGGTCTTTATGTATGACTCATTCCTCATGAAGGAGTGCTTTTGCTAAAAAAGGATGCACACCCACAGTCATACAATAAATGGGTGGTCTTAGGTTTGTGAACTAGCAGTGAGATTAATGGCTAGTGAAATAGCCCATCTGTCTTTAGAATCAAGCTACCGTGTCATGTTTGTCCTCAGAGACAGTGAACCCTATGGCTTGAGTGTCTGGCAGATAAATGATCATCTTTTCCTTCTAAAGCTTGGTCATCAGTTGTTATTGTTTAATTTAATGGACTATGCCCTGGTTTCCATGCAGTGACATGAAAGGCAACAGTCGAGCTGAGAACAGGGAAAATGAGAGGTAGCTTGAAAGAGAATTACTGTACATACAAGTCTTGGCTTGTCTGTCTGAATTACCTATGTAAAATCCAGACATGAACAACACCCAAACAGCAAAGATGTGTGCCCATAATTTTTGAAATGACAGAATTTTTTTTTTTTTTTTTTTTTTTTTTTTTTGCTTAGCAGTAATTGATTTCCTTTCTATTTGTACATTCTGGGCCTGTTTTCTTCAGTTCACAATATGTTTTTCCCACAGCATAACTGTGTCATTAACAAAGTAGAGCAACAGTTCAGCCTTTTTTTTACTGCTCAGTCTGTGGTTGCCAAACCTCATCAACAGGTCATGATTCCTTTGAAGAGATGGCACCAGAATGCACACAGATTTCCAGCAGAAGGTACAGACCATGGCACAAGGAGCATCACAGTTCCTAAATTAGAGATCCTGTGCCCAGGATCTCTCAGGGTATTGAATCTGCTGCCCTTCTCCCTTTGCTGTGGCCTTACTTCAGGGCTCTTAATGCTCAGTTTTCCACTCACATCCCACCCTGTTTAAAATTGAATTAATGAGACTTCAGCCTGTCTGAGCTGTTGTGCATCTTAGTTCATCCATATTTGTAAATAAAAGGAAATAATCTCATCTCACTGAAGAGGAAGCAGGAGGACCAAATGATGCCAATAATCTTTGTTCCTAGGCCAGGTAGTCCCTCTTACCTATACTTTTACAATCTATATTAAGTGTGCAGAGGCTGCAGAAAATATGGAGGGTTTCATTCTGGCTGAAGGGCTGCTCTGTAAATTGTACCAGCTGAGCCACCCTTTTGTTGTCCCTGGATGGCTCCCAGTCCACTCTGCAGGCAGGAGCCATGCTTCATGCCCAGCAAGAAAGGACAGAGGAGTGTGGATGTATTTGAGCACACCTAGGTGGTGCTGCAAGCTATCCCAGGTATCAGGGTCCCTGGGATCCCCAAAACCTGCAGAGCTGAGTCCTTTGGAGAAAGACAAAAAGCTCAGACCAGATCCTGCTGCAGGTTACCAGGATTCTCATGCACCAGGCACACGCATGACCATGTGTAAAGAAGCATATGTTGACTTTTTATCCCCTTGGAGCTGCCTGGACTCCAGGCCACTGTGGAAGCAGAAATGGTCCTTAAAAATCCCCTTCAGTCTTCATCAGCTTCCCAACGGGTCCTCTCACCTCACGTCCCCTTGAATCAAGCATTCCTGCTCCTCCTGCCCTGAGGACTGTGCTGCCAACCCACCCAGCAACCCCCTGCCTGTTTTTCCACTCTCATTTAGTTTAGTTTTCCCTAAAAGTAGCATTCCTCAGATTTACAATGCAAAATACCCCTCAGACAGCACCAAAATACTTTACTCATAAATCCTGAATATTGGCAAATGACAGGGATTGGGGGATTTGGAATAGACATTGGCACAGATGGGAATGGTGGGGAAGGCATTGCACAGGTGTAGGCTGAAACCTCAGCTTAGCATTGGCTTCCTTGAAATCACAGAATCATTTAGGTAGGAAAATACCTCTAAGATCATTGAGAGATCATTGTAGAGAGCAGTAAGGTGTCCCCTAAGGTCAGACAAGTTCCCATGTCTGCTGTGCCCAAGGCAGGTGAGAGGGTCTTGGGAGCTGAGGGACAGGGAGGTGACATCGCAGGGACGGCGGGGCTGGCAGGTGTCAGTGGCAGTCAGGTGATGAAGAACTCGGCAGCATCAGCCTCTCCCCGCCCTGCGGCTGGGCAGGACAAAGAGCTGGGACCGAGGGATGGGGTCGGGCTGCCCAGGGAGTTGTTTCGCTGCGCTGCAATGGACAGCTGCATGCAGCCCCTGCCCACCCAGAGCCAGCTTCCTCCACTGGCCACAGAAAAGCTCCTTTTGGGGCAGGAGAGTGAGATCAAACAGCTCTGGTCTTAGACAGATGCAGCTCTGGAGCAAGGGAGAGGGCAGTCCTGGGGCTGGAAGGGAAATGATAAAAGGGAACAAGTCCTGCCCTCTGCAGTAGAGGCCTCCTGGTTCCTGTGTCCATCTGTCCCTGTGTCTGTACCCCAGGCGTCCACAATACAGCACCCACCAGAGCCACCTGCTGAATGGCACTGGGGACACTGGGGACACTTCTCTCGGGCTGCAGTAACTGCCCTGGGACAGGGGATTCTCCCCAGGGCCATGGCTTTCTTATCTTGAAGCAGTAGTGATTAGAAAGGAAGGCAGCTTTCAGGCTGAAATCAGGATGAGTCAGGCAAATACATGAAAACCGAATTATTCATCACTGTATTCAAAACATATCCATCACCCTGCCATTTTGGAAATCAGATAAAATGCTTCTGTGCTGAAGATGGATACCCCTAGAGGTACTTTTATACTGCATTTTAAGAGCCTGGCTTTGTCTTGAGATCAAAGCTGGTTGGGAAGCAGGAGCTGCCTCCTGGAGCAGGCAGGACCTTGCCCTGCTGAGCTCAGGGCTTGCTGGAAACCCAGAGTAAAACTCAAGACTCAAGTTGTGTAACTGAGCACAAAGTGAATATAACTTTTTCATTATCCAAGATGAGTGCAAACAGATAAACACAGGGCGTAATGGGGAAGGGTTAATTACATATATTTTTTCTGCAGATGGGGTATGGGTGGAAAAATGTTATCATTTATTTAAGCTGTGTTGGTTCCTAACACAGAGAAGCTGTAGCTGTTAGGACCTGCATTTTGCTGTACATATGCAGAAGCCCCCTCAAAAATTAAACTATATTCATCGCAGCATAACTCTGCTATGCAATGCAATGAACTGTGCAGAAGAAACATATTCATGTTTTCACCCTGGAACCCCAATTACTGTGCAGTTCAATGGGCTTTGCGAAGTGTGACCCGTGGAAATGCTTTGTGGGATATTGCTCCCTCCAGGAGTGTTTTCTCAGAA